GCGTTTCGTCGACGATAGAGATTCCATAAATACCTCAGAGGCGGCTGCACAGCAGCGTCGGCGCCTACGGGAACAACCAGTCGTCTAATAAACAACACAACACAGTGTACCGTACCAACATCACTACATGTAAATACATGCACCACCATCCAGGTCGGTTATCTTGCTTTTAATGAATCGCTGGTAAATTTGTGTGTCAATTTACTCTTATCAGTCTATTAACGGGATGGGCCATTTCCGTGTGCATACATTTGAAAGTCTGCCAGGTCCTTTCACTCGCTATTGCTGAACATGGTGTCATTAGCTATCTCTCGAATCTTAATTACGTATAAGTACAACGTTATGAGCTTGCAGAAACGTTGTGTAAGAAATAGTTGGAAACATATCAAGGACTTGTTCTTTTTGCGGAATAATTAGAAGGTTGTTCATCTCTCTATAACTAAAGCCAGAAGGACAAGACGACACGAAGACATTTCTCTTTTGTTAACTATAGGTATAACATCAAGTGATTAGTAGTATATTGATATTTGTAGGTACTTATTGCTAATAGTAGTATTTCTTACAGTTATCAGTAAGTATCTATGGATGGCGACATACCGCTAATAACTTCAGTTTGGACTGTGATTTATCGAAACTGCTTATGGTGTGATGATGAGAGCTAATGAGTTAGAAATCGAGCTTTATATCCTTCTTATGTTTAGTAAACTTCCTTTGAACCATGAAACGCCATTGAGGACTTAAAACTGCCGTCATATAGTTTTTCCAAATTAACTAGACGATTTTATGAACTGTTTTGAGCTGCTTATGGTGTGATGATGAGAGCTAATGAGTTAGAAATCGAGCTTTATATCCTTCTTAAGTTTAGTAAACTTCCTTTGAACCATGAAACACCATTGAGGCATTAAAACTGCCGTCTAATAATTTTTCCAAATTAACTGGACGATTTTATGAACAGTTTTGAGCACGTTTTTGCCATGATACGTAGTCAAACACGTGTGCTTTGAAATGTTAAGATCCCTTGCCACTTAAAGTAATGTTTGTAAATCTCGAAGGGAAATGAGAATTACTTTAAAGCTCAGTCACGTGGCGCTAACAACTTCACCATCTATACAATTAAGATTACATTCGCACCGTTTCAGTGACTGCTTTGATACATGAAAGGGGATTTCACGGGGTCGTTTTCTCGTGTAATAACGACCGAAACTTCATCTAATGACGGCCATTACAACAGGAGATCGGGAACGTTTTCCCAGTACAGTAACTGATGTGCTACTAGATTCCTCGAAAAGGGAGATATCTGTCTCCCATTATCCCTTTCCAATTTATTCCACTTTCTACGTAAAACTTCAAACCGACAACAAATGAACATTCATGTACATATATATTTACGGGAAAAGGGAAAACTAGTCATTATTTACAAAAGAAAAATGAATCATTCATGATGTAGTTGTAGAAATTATTATTAAAGTTAATCGCAGTCGCTGTTGGGTAAAGCTATAAAATAACTTCAAAGTATAGAATTAGAATAATATCTAGTTATTTTAATTAAAGTTCAACATCGTGCAGAAATTCATATATCTAAACGTAGGCACGAAATTCGTATCTAGATAACTTCACTTCTTGTTGAAACATGTGTATAAATATGATGGACGTGATGAATTTTCAGTCTATAAAATTTAAAATCAAAACCTCAATTGAGTAAAAATAATGTATTGAGAGCGTACATAAAACAAAAATCATTTTCGTTATTCAAAAACTGGCATATATGTCATCGCGAAGTTTAATCAAGCAAATTAGCTATCGATTGATTCCAACTGTCATTCTTCATTAAAATTAACCGAGTCCTGTGTACTTTTGCTCAAAAATAATGGCGATTGGATGCGAATCTGCATACATAGATAGTGTGCCCGAAGACTGAGCAAATATCACGAATTATTCGTTTCATGGGGTGAACGTTAATTCCTGAAAATTATACCGTTTTTCTTAATCGTATACGCTAAATAAAAGTATCTATACTCATATATTTTAGAAATAACATCTTATTCGAGATACAATCATTAACCTTCAGCTGAGAATGACACCTTAGGTCTCGAAACACGTCATACTCGTACAGCATTTTAATTATACGTAGATGGTGTTTTCATCATCATCATCATAAGGTCGTCAGTCCTAAGACTGGCTGGACACGCACCTCCACTTTTTCCTATCCTGAGCTAATCTTCGCATTTCCCAAATTCTTAACTATTTGCGAGTAGTAATCTAATCTAGGTCTTTTTTATTGAAGGCAACTCGGCCCTGGGCTATCCTCTGCTTTATATCCCTACTACTCCTTCCGTCCTGAGTTATCTGACTCCCTAGATACCTACCTAAAATCGGTCAGTTCTCCTAATTTTTCGTCTCCTATCTTTATATTCGCTCTTTACCTCTTCCATTTTATTTAAAGCTATCTCTAACTCCTTGCTAGAGTGTGTTTTATTAATTTAATTTTATTTAAACAAGAAATTAGAAATAAGTTCATTTATGGCATTTAGGCATCATGAAAGTAATTATTTTAAACATTTTCTCGATTTCCGAAACGAAAAAAAATGACGATGAAATGGGTGGAATTAACTTTTGACGTCAATTTAGGGATGTCGAATATCAAAATGAATCCACTGTAAATATTGGTCGATTGCTGTTGTAAAACAGTGTTCCGAGAATCGAAAAACAATTCTGTGCCCTGCTTTTGTAAACGGGAATCGTAACCACTTCTATTTGATTCGCAGAATCGGATTTTGACAGATTGCGAAAGAATAACGTGAATTGAAAGCCCATTTCCGAACCAAATTTCCTACAGCCGATTTCCATCATAGTACCTAAAGAGCGTGGCCGAAACAAAAACACGTCGACAAATAGTCAATCACAAAACACTATTTACGTGCTTCATTTGTTTAAAGAAGATAGCAAATTGCATCCACGAAATATACGCTGTATGTACACAAATAGGCGAAGTTTAAATTGTGGAAAATTTCATATTATTTTCCATACAATGGATATTCGTATTCGATGTTAATTTTATGGGTTCGTTACTTCAAAATGAAAAAGCTGAATCGCTAAAGGTCATTTTGGTGTTTTTTTATCCGTTAAGGTTCCTTTGCTGAAGAAGAATATGGTAAACTGATTGTAATAATAATTTCTAGAAGACAAAATTTTGTATTTCATTTAGAACGTCCGGTAGGATTCCTATTTTTATCGTTTTTGTATGTGAAAAATTTGTGTTGTGTTTTTTTATTAAACGAATTTTAGCCTGTTTTCCTTCGTCAACTGTATTGGCAAATACCGGAAAAACTCCGGAACAAAGGTCAAACCTTTTTCTTCTAAAAAGTACTACATAAAAGAATTTGCCGCAGTTTCTTTTGATCCCCGCGTTTGTCCACTTTAAAAAACAGTACAATGAATAAATCAGAAGCATTGAAAAGATGGAACAACAACGGCGAATACTGGATATAATTGCGTCCAGGTTTTAATCAAAAATCGTTCTTTGTTCTACACAAGATTTATTTACCTATAATCAATAATTATCGAATTATATAGTTAGTTGTATTAGCTAATTTGGCTTTCATATGAAGCAGTATATTTCAGCCTGTTTAAAATGATTGTGGTTAATGTGGCCAATCGTTTACAATAACAAATCATTACGTCGATATATGGTAATTTGTATGTCGCATTTATTCGCCCTCTTGGGTTTCCTTTTGTAGGCTTTATTCTATTTGTTAAAGTCTTCAGATCATATATATATGAATCTTCAGACTCTTATATGTGTTTCTTTAAAAATATTCGTATAACACATCGCATCTCCTGTAATTTCATAAGCAATTTTCAATAACACACCGGTATATGAGTACATATTTTTATTATGTCTAGAGGGATTTCATTTAAAACGTTTTATGTTTCCACTTTTATCATCTTGAAAATTTTAATATCAAGAAATGAATTCAATTTAAAACGTATGTAGGTAGGTACTTCTCTTATTTAATTTAATGTTACGTTTTAGCTTGTGTTGCTTTAATTTTTTGGAGCAAAGAAATAGCGTTTGCTTTGTAATTTGTAACATAATTGTCGGAAAAAAACATCGAAATCCCGATGTAGTGACAGAGTTTAAGTTTTAATTAGTGGAAAAGAAACATTCTAAAACGCTGATTGCAATTTCATCCTATTGGCCACTGCTCTTTGACCGTGTCGGGGTTCGTTCGGTCAAGTAGCTGTATTAACTACTTCAACCCTTTGCGAGCGTTTGAAAGGGGTCGGGACTGGGGCTGCGACAGGATGCGATGGAACGCCATTAATGAAACCAATTACGAACTATTCTCCATTCCGCCACTTTAAAATGTTGCAGACTAATCGAATAAGTCGATCTATCGATCGGCAACAGTATTAAACTCGGTGTCAACCTACATGTCGAGAAGCGATATTTGACAAAATTCAATACTGTTTTGACGGTTAAATTCTTAGCCTGTGTGTTGGGGGTAAAAATTCATAGTTAAAAATGTATCTTAATCTAGACGTGAAATCTGCAAAAAAGTTTTCAATGGGTAAATAATCTGAGAGGTATATTAAAAGTAGAAATAGAAATTAAGAGGAACATATGTATATCCCTTCACTTAGGGAAAGGTACAGCGTAGGCGATGTGCGCAAACTAATGTCGGTCGTAGACGTGTTCCAGGAATATGATCACTGCCAGGTGTTTCCGATCAGGGCACAACCCGTAACCCGTTACGCTCATTATTACAATCCACGCATATCGATTTGGCATCGTGTACTTTTCTCTAAGTGAACGGACTTTAAGCCTAGACTAGGCTACTGTTAAATAATTACAGGTATACGTTGCTCTAGTTTGGGCTCAAGTAAAAGCATTCAACCAGTTTTTGGGCTACAAAAATTAGGATCATCACTATTATTTATACACATAATAGAATAGATATGTTATATATCTTCTAAATGTCATTTTGTTTTTGTTACAGATCCCCCTGAGAAACCCTACCTCCTAATAGACAATAGGATCCTAGATCCGGGTAATTTGTTCATTCCGGTTAAAGAAAATTCAGATTTGACCGTATCGTGCGTGGTGGACGGTGGCAGCCCGAAGCCGACGTTATCATGGGAATTGGCTCTCGGATCTTTGTCACTTCTCGACGCTCCGGAGGTCCCTTACCAAGCTCTCAATTTCACCGAAACAGTACGAGAACAACGCGTCGGCGCTCGCAGCGATGTGCGTCTCGAAAGCGTCATGAGGGTCCACCATAATGCAACACTCACGTGTCTCGTACATCATGTTGCCTTAGAACAGCCCCTAAACGTGTCGTTACTGCTTGATGTCCAATGTAAGTATATAAACATGTTCAAAAAATGTTAGGCAAAGACCTCTACGTGGTAGACAGGTAACTAAGCAGAACAAGCAGTTCATGGTGGTCATTGAATCTCATCAGCACGCCGTATACTGCTTCGACAATTTGCAGACCATCTCTACCTGGTGCCTTTAGACAGCATTTGATGAATTATTACAAACAGTGTAGTGAACGCCATCTATAGAAACTCGTACCGACTAGATCTAATGAAAACGAAATCGCGATCAACGTTTCGACAGAATAATGACTACCATGAACTTTCTGAGGTACATAATCAAAACAAAAGGTCCTCTACAAGAAATATTGCACCTTTTTCAAAATAACAATATTAAAACTGGGCATTTTTTATGCAAAATCTTCCCAAGTGCATAATTAGGTCATCCGATAATTTAAATTGATAACTTGATAGTAAATTGTAGATGCTTCAAGTAGCAGCAAGATGATAGAAGACCTTAGAACCTGAACGAAATTTACCCCTACATTTTTGATACTTTATAATTTTGAGTAACCTTTAATATTTTACCTTCATGAGTTTTTCACTTTTTTCCCAGAAAACCCCTATAAATTTTATATTGTTTAAAGGCATCATTGTCAGTTCATCTATCCATAAATAGAATATTGTCTAATACGTACAATTAAACGGAAGTTTGCTGCTGTCTTACTTTCATGAAATAATAATTTGTCAGCAAGTTCCTTCTCCAGTTTTACGTAAAATCAAACGCTACGTAGAACTCACTTTCTACTAAACTTCTCAGAAGAGACTGGAATTTTATGAATTGCTTCAGAAAGTCTTTTTCAAAAGCAAGTTTCGATTGCTCGTTGCCTTCCTCTTCCTCACATTTAGTCCTTTTACCTACTGTTTTAGCATTCAATGGAACGTTTAAAGCAAAGCATTTTCACTGACTATGAGTGGATTATATTCACCTTTAGCCTGCTGTACAAAAGACACCTAACCCAATCAATTTAGGCACTTAATTCTTATTCAAATTACAAACGACTAATTAAGAAATTGCCTCATTGCTTAGTGAGATTCTTAAATTGGATTAAATACTGAATTACAGTTTTTTGACTTCACCTTCAAATTAGTCACTTTTAATTTAATATTGCGAGTAAATGTATTAAACGTGTCTTTATCCTCAAGCATTGATTAATGAAATTAAATTCTACACATCAACTACGTACTATTCTTGACGATAAATTTCCAGCACTCGGGTTAATTGGAATTTTCAGGAACAGTTTTAATTCAAAAATAATTTAATTTCCGGATACTTGAAATTATCATTCCAATTTTGAAACTGTAGGTAATTATCTAATTATTCAAAATGCAATCTCATTATCCTTAAGAATCCCTTAAATTTACTTATCAGTCTTTAATATGGAGTATCAAGTTCAAACCATTTCTTGTTAAATATCTAACAATTTTAAATAATATTCTTTAATTTGTTTAAAATTGAATGGCATTCTTCCAAGATCTGGCTCATATGGTTTACACTTATGATTTTAAGGTTTATGTTAAGTGTATTTGTTATTTTTTTTTTAAATAAAATGTATATATTGCGTAGGTACAACTAATAACTATTCTTTAAAATAAAATAGATCCTTAAAAAATTTCAGCAACATCGTTAATCTCATTATCTGCGTAGTACCTTGAGAATTACTTGATGAAGTCTTAAAAGGCGAAACATCGATCCGTTATATTATTAATAAAAAACATTTGAATTTTCACATATTACCTATATACACGTGTATATATTATATTTCAAATATTTCCTGTCAGTTATTCGCAGAAAATAATTTATCCTATTTTCGATGTACCTACGAGAAAAGTGTAAAGAGTCCTACGTAAAGCACGGGAAGTTTTAAAAAAGTTTGCACAAAAATTACATTGTGTTCAGTTAAGAGTTAGCCGTCTGCAGTTCTTCCTTGGAAGACAACGTTAATTTAAAGTTTCGAAATAGCAAAAATCCAAGACGAATTAGAAGATAAAAGTCGGTTATATATCGTCCCGGTTCCTCTCTCGCGGACGTTAATAAACTACTCGGGGATATAATTTATTATCCGGGGGAGAGTCGACCGTGATCAACGAACTCCCATCTCGAAGAAAACGTTTCACTTCTTTAATCCAATCGTCGGACATGGAAATGGGACGGCGAGGGACGTGTCCGTTCGTGCGAACGAATTTTCTTCGATTGTTCTAATGTTTTACGACTCTTCCTAGCTAGAAAACAAGCAATACAATTGCAAAATTTTCCGTCAACAAAAAGTACTAAATTTCCGCCACTATATAGATGATCTAAATACGAACGAATTATTCAAAGAAATCGGTCCAGTAGATTCGGAGCAAATTGACTGTGGCAGAAGGACACACAGACACGGAAGAGACTTACGAAACCCTAAAATTGCTGTTGTATTATTTTAATTGATTGATATATTATTTAACGTTACGAACTTTTTATTTTGTACCGATTTAGTAATCCAGTAATTACCTTTGAAGCTATCGCATTAGCATCAAGTATTGATCGTCAGCGATTCGAAGTAGTCACGTTCTTTGCGATTGGGAATATCCGTAATTTCACGTGTCACTTCGATCACGTTCCTGAATCAGACTCATTATTATTATTACAAGCCGAACTTTCGATAACTTCACGTGTACAATTTTCCCCTGCCCTCTTTCCCCAAGTGACAAATAACCATCGAAGGCTGTACAACAATTAATTGTCATATTCATCATCATAAGGTCGTCAGTCCTAAAAAGGGTTGGACACGCATATCCCTAAAACTAAAACACCTCACATCTTTTTAACTATTGCGAACAGTAATCTAATGTAGGTCTATCGCTACCCCTCCCGCTTCTGCCTCTAATATGTCTTTGACTAGACCTTTATGCCTGAGAAGGTGTCCTACCAACCTATCTCGCCTATTTTTTATTGACTTCCATTGAGTCCTCTGTTCTCCTATTCTTTCTAATACCTCTTCATTTTTAACCTTCTCTAGCCACGGTATCCTCATCATTTGCCTGTAACATCACATTTCGAACGCTTCTAACCTTTTCTTTTCCGCCGCACCAGTCCATGTTTCGCACCCGTACAGCGCCGCGCTCCAAACACACCTTTAACAACCTTTTTCGAAATTCTAAATTAACCATTCGCGAGCATATAAGTGACTTCTTTTTATTGAAGGCGACTAGACCTTGCCCCATCCTGTGCTTTCTATACCTAGTACTCCTTCCGTCCTGACTTATCTGACTTTCGAAAATGTAGTAGGTCAGGTAATAACAGTTTCTGCTAATCGCAATAGGGAGATGTGGACCACATGTGGCTTCAACAATATTATATCAGATACTGTAAAACCTCTTTGGGGTTTTTGGGGGTTTTTCATTCTCTTCTGGCTTCATTTCGTCCGTCTCATCTTTCTCACCTGAACCACCACCCACCCATTCCCACGATTCCTGAAAGGAGACTGAAGAGGGTCTTCCGCCTTACCTTCCGGCATAGTCTGGAGGGACTGCCCGCCCACCAACATTAATGGTTGGTGGGAATGAAAAACCCAAAATTTTTATTCTTTTGGACCTTATGATAATGTAAGACGTGCTGTCTATCACTTCTATTGATTAGACCCAAAATGGAAGACGATGAAAATAGCGGCTTCGTGCACCACTGAATGACTTAGGTTTAGAAATGTCAAAAAGCAATGATAATGTCACCATTAACTTTTGACGTCTGGAATGATTGGCTAAAACTAAATTCAAAATTAAACTACTCTATGTATAATGTCACCTAGGCCGTTAGGGCGGTCATGTGGTCTTTGTGAACGTACCTGTGCTTATCAACATTTTTATTTTGGTTTGTCCTACATCCAAGATCATCTGAAGCATTTCCAAGTTCGGTTAAACCGATTGAAAAACGGGTGGGAAACTTTCAACAAGCTCGATAACGATGTTGGCATAATTCACAAATATTCCATCGGGGATTTCGTCGATTTACCGAGTCGAAAAACCATCCACGTACCCTCAACGAAATATTCCTTAAAGCCGCCAACAACAGGGGCGAGAAATATTATGCTAAAGCGGAAAAGCAGATTTGTATCGATCTGCAATGTCAGAAGTGTCCTCGAAGGACCAACGTGTCCTTCAGAGGAAGATATGCTGTACGAGAACTATCGAAAAAACAAATGCGGACGTGGTGACCTCAAAGAACTCCCGAACGCGCCCTTTTATACTTCAGAAGAGGATCTCTACTATCACACATTTAAGTCAAAAGAGAGAAATAAACAAGACGCGTTAGTTAACTATCATCAGCCCTTATCCCATTCCGGTTCTGAACCTTCTGTTTTAAAAGTCGCCTCGTCGTATCCTTCTGATATCCACTCATCAAAATGTATATTTAAGAATGACATTTACTGTCAAACTGATAACACTCGGCTAATTACAACGAGATCCACGAACACGAACGAAAAATGCATGAAAGTGAAAAAGTCTGTATCAAACCATGTTGATCTAAGCGGAAGCATAAAGAAGAATTCTGTAAAACAAAGCAGAAAGTGTAAAAGTATTAATGATAATCAGTTTTTGAGGAAACGATATGCCCAATCAGCCCCTGTCTACATGAGACTTTCTACAGGCAAAAAGAAACCATCTTGTAATGTTTACTACAAAAACGACTGTATTTTGGACGACGAAAAGTCGTACATCTCCGACCCATCGTCTTTTTATCTTTACGACAAAAATTATAAAATGTCAGAGAGTAGAGCAAGGTCCAGTTTTATAACAAGTGCAGCTGAAATAGCACGAAAAATAAAATCCGTAACACATGCGAACTGCACGCGCGTTGTCAGAAGTATACTTCTAGAAACCATTTCTCCAAGATGTGACCCTGTCTTTAAAAAGTGCCTTAGGCTTATGTCCGTGTCCCTTGTTCTCGTAATTTTCGGATTTTTAACACATTACTTCAACAAAGAGCTCTACAAAACCAGGAGAT